CATCTCTCAGGCTTCTCTCTGATTTAAATGCCCTGTGCATCGTAACCCGCAAGTTTCTAACTTCAGACACGAAGACCTACGTGACGCCAGATGTAACGCAAGTTTATTAACCTTAAATCGAGGTGCGAGTTTGACATTACAGTGTTGACGTTCAACATGGAACGCGTGACATCATAATCGTATGACTAAGTCGGATACATATTTTTTAATATCTTGTACGCACAAGTGAAGTGTTGGTGGATAATATAATTTCGAGAGCTTACTCCAACTTGTTGCGTAAGTGTATATTTTCTAACCAGTCGACCGTCAATGTAACACCGTTTACGGTCCGAATGCAACGCCTCCTTTATATACAGTTAGCTGTTACGTCGTTAATAAGGATTGCAACTTGGATCTAAATTGATTGCCTCTGTAATGTTGAAATTCTTTTATCCAGCAATTTGAAGATGATCGCGTCGGAAGTTGGCTCCACCAACACAGAACCTGTCCACATCAGGATCACAAATGAGAAAGCTCCGTTGATCAACGGCAGGGGTGTGCTTCAGCGATTAAGTAATATTTTCAAGATCGGAAGGACGGCCCACTCCGAGGGAGATGGCTATGTCGAGTTTGGTACTCTCGGCGTGGACAACGCTCGTACATTGGGAACCTTTGCTGGTGTCTTCAGCCCAGTTACACTGTCTATGTTCAGTGCCTTAGTTTTTATACGAATGGGTAGGTTGTAACTCGTCAAAGTTTCGCGTATTCCAAGTACGAGCACTGTTGGTTACATCAACTATTAATTTTTACAGGATACATTGTGGGTAATGCAGGATTATTCGTGACTTTAGTTCAGTTCATTATAGCATATGGTATTTTATTATTCACAGTCGCGTCTGTCTGCGCTATATCGACCAACGGCGCTGTAGAGGGTGGTGGCGCTTACTGTATCCTTTTGTTCCCACTGTCAAACTGCATGCTACTTCCAACGGATAAACTCTCCATATTTATCTCTCTTCATTTATACGGCGGAGATAGACGAGCTATGCCAGCTCACCGTTTCAAGATAGCTTATCGGCAGATTAGCTCACTTTGTTCCGCTTACGTTTGATATTATAATAGTTGTATGTTAGTAGCCACAAGTTACAAATTGATTTCCCCGTACATTATAAAGTATTGCTAATTATATGAATGGGGTAAAATGAAAAAAAAAGCCACAAGTATTTTCCTATTAATCTGTATACAGTTATGATCAGTCGTACATTAGGACCTGAATTTGGTGGTTCCATTGGCACTCTCTTTTTCATGGCCAATGTTGTCTCCAGCGCGCTTTGTATCTCTGGATGTGCCGAGGGTTTGGTTGAAAACTTTGGCCCATCCGGCTACTTGAGCGGCAAAACTGGTCTCATACCAGATGGCCAATGGTGGAGATTTTTATATTGTTCCATACTGAATACCGCCAATCTTGTAGTTTGTCTTATCGGAGCCGCAATGTTTGCAAAAACCAGCGTTGCGATCTTGGCGGTTGTCTGCATCTGTCTGGGTAGTGTTTTTATCAGTTTTTTGACTCAGGGTGCGATGGAGGTAAATAATTTTCCGATTTGAATATAAAGGAGAAATTTTGCTGTATTTTGGATAATCAAGTATTTATTATATACCTTTAGATACCGATACCAGATGCAAATACATTGGTACAGAACATAACGGAGCATGTAAATGGAAGTTACACGGGTCTCTTGTCTTCTACACTTTCTAACAATCTCTATTCGAATTATAGTGCCGATTACTCAAGCAAAGGAGCTATGACGGATTTTGCGAGCGTCTTTGGTGTATTGTTCAGCGGTGTAACTGGGATAATGGCTGGGGCAAATATGAGCGGTAAATAAAATATAAAGAAATAAGTTGGTATTTGCTATCGATATTGACTGTGTGACAATTGATAGGCGAGTTAAAAAATCCCGGCCGGAATATTCCACGTGGGACATTATCTGCGGTATCATTTACATTCATATGCTACATTCTGTTGTCTGTCCTGACGGCTGCTACCACTAGTCGGTTTTTACTGCAAAACAATTTTATGTACATGATGCCGATTAATCTCTGGCCGCCATTTGTCGCCGTTGGTATTCTCACAGCTACATTTAGCGCTGGTTTAAGCAATTTGATAGGCTCTAGTAGAGTACTGGAAGCGTTGGCCAAAGACAACGTATTCGGTAAGTAATTACAATGACAATAAGAATTTCATTTAATTGAATATCTTTGCTTTACTCCTTGGGTCTCAGGTTCAGGATTAAATTTCATCATACAAGGCACATGGCGCGGCAACCCAATAGCGGCGGTATTCACTTCGTGGGTTTTGGTTCAGGCAATCTTGCTTATCGGCTCGTTGAATACTATTGCTCAAATTAATTCGGTATTATTTCTCTTAAGTTATCTCGCTACCAATCTTGCGTGTCTTGGATTGGAACTTGCTAGTGCACCAAACTTTAGGTATATATCCACAAAATTATGTTGTGTAATTACCGATTACTGTGTCCCTCACAAGTGTCTCCATTTTTCCTTCAGGCCAACATTTAATTACTTCACGTGGCACACGGCGACTATAGGTCTTCTTGGAACACTGATAATGATGTTCATAATCAACAGCATTTATGCTTCCAGTAGCATAATTTTATGCTTAATATTGATCATTGTGCTACATTTATTCTCGCCGAGTAAAAACGCACCGTGGGGCAGCATATCTCAAGCATTGATATTCCATCAAGTAAGAAAGTACCTGTTGATGCTGGATTCGCGCAAGGATCACGTTAAATTTTGGCGTCCGCAAATGTTACTGATGGTCGCGTCTCCGCGTTCCGCCTGCCCTCTCATCGATTTCGTGAATGACTTGAAGAAAGGAGGCCTCTACGTTATTGGGCACGTCAAGGTTGGTGAATTTACTGGCCAGAATAGCGATCCTACGATAGAGGAATATCCGCATTGGTTGAGCTTAGTTGACCACATGAGAGTTAAAGCCTTCATCGAATTGACCGTGACGAAAACGGTACGCGAAGGCATGCAACATTTAATAAGACTGTCCGGCATGGGTGCGATGAAACCGAATACGATCGTCCTTGGTTTTTACGATGAAGAAACGCCAAGGAACTTTTTCTTGGATTCTCAATACGCGACGGCAATGTTTGAAAATAGCACGACGCTTCCAAATAACACTGTGTTCCCTCTGAGACAAGCAACGGGCGAAAAGAGTCTGGATCCGGTTCAATATGTTGGTATGTGCTCGGATGTTCTGAGAATGAAGAAGAACTTGTGTCTGTGCAGAAACTTTCATCTGTTAAATAAAGCGCAATTAACCAAGTAAGTATCATCGCGAAACTACTTCAAGTAACACTGTCATAGTAATGTGTATTTCCTTTTAGAAGCTCAAATTTGAAGTATATTGATGTATGGCCGGTTAACTTTTTCCAACCGACCGATCAAGATCCATTCGATACAACGTCGTTATTCATGCTTCAACTGGCATGTATCGTAAACATGGTACCCAGTTGGAAAAATTTACATCTCCGGGTGTTTCATTGCGAAACTGCGGATGGCAGTGAGAGCCTCAATATCTCAGATTCTCCCAATTCGATGAACGAATATCCGAGAGTCTCGAACGAGCACAGGATTCGAAAATCATTAAATTTATTGAGAATCTCAGCATCGATCAAAAAAATTCCGGAATGGGGTGAGCAAGTCCGAGGATTGAAAGGTAGACCTCTACTTGAGCCAAAAAATCAGTATGAATCAAGTACAGAGTCCAATAGTGTTTTGAGCAATGTATCCCGCGCTTATATATTGGGGTAAGCATCAACTGCTTCTGCGATTACGACTTTTTACGAAGGAAAAGATGGTTGTTGATTAATTTTCTTTTCTCAGCGTCAATCAACTGATAAGACAGTATTCTTCCCAAACTGCGACAACATTTATTTATTTGCCCGGCCCGCCAGCCTCCAACACTTGGGACGAGGATGACATGTATCGACAGTATCTACAATCGTTGACAGAATTGACTGTCGACTTACCACCGACAGTTTTAGTACACGGTGTTAGCGCTGTCACATCTACCACTTTATAACAAAGTGTATTAATAGAATATGGAAGTGTGGTTTGGTACATTTCTCCATTGGTAAGAAGAGAGGATAAGTTTAGAGAAGACACACTTAAATCATACGATTATACATATACACTGTGTTATTTCTTACAATACTGCTGCTAATTTAAAAGGGATTATGTTAAATGCATAAAGACAGGATGTAACTATAATTTGTTATGTCTCATTAATAATTAATGCGATAATTATTTTACAGAGTATAATAGTATAGTGTTGCTAAGCAATAAGCATTGGTTTAAGATTAACAGAAAAGCTTTTGTCACGTCCAAAAGAAAGTTTAATATTCCAAGTACTAAAGTTTATTACTGTGATAACGAAAGTATTGTATAAGAAATTCTTGGGGGACGAATATTTTTAAAAACTGACTGTTAGACGGACTAAAACTGTAAATATATTATACTAATGGATCACCATTCTAATGTATCTCGGTATACTCCATATGTGTATGATATAAATACTCTATTACTGTACCAATTTTATATCACATTTCATATTGTCATGAGTATTAATCAGTAATAATTACGAGTATCTAAATAAAAATTTATTAATATTACTGTGTATAGTTATTGAAAATGCATTCCCCGATAAAAGGGATTTTGCTCCGTTTTATAATATACGTGCGTTCCAAAACTCATGAAATAACGTGGATAGATCTAACCTGTACGGCAGGTCTTGTTGCGCAATTTTCTCAACGTATGGTACGTTAAAGTGGCCTGTCAATATTTTGCTTTACCATGTTTGCGGGCAAATTAACTTTATCGATTTCGCGATCAGTTAAAAGTAATTTGACCAATATTCGGCAAATGAGCGCAGCAATGAATATCGACTGCGTCAAATCTTTATTGTACAAAGAATACGGTGATCCCGTTGAGGTTCTTCAAGTAACGACGCAAACGCTACAACAACCGGCGGCCGATCAGGTAATTGTTATTGCATTTTTAATCCCTATAGAATTTAATCCAATGTTTATATGACGTAGGTGTCTGTGAAATGGCTATTATCCCCAGTGAATCCAGCCGATATAAATACGATACAAGGGAAATATCCTAGCAAGCCTCCTCTGCCAGCGGTACCGGGAAACGAAGGGGTTGGAGAAATAGTAGCAATTGGCTCGAATGTCCGAGGTTTGCATGTTGGAGATAAGGTGGTGCCAAATGGTCCTAACTTTGGAATCTGGAGAACGCAAGCCAATTATCATTTTACCGATGTTATGAAGGTATGTACATTATCACATCGTCTACAATAAGTATTGTCAGATGTGTTTGTTTTTAATCCTCTTTTTGCAGTTGCCCAACGATGTTGATCTAGTCGTAGCCAGTATGATGAACGTCAATCCATGTACAGCGTATCGAATGCTCAAGGATTTTGTCCCGTTAAAGCCTGGAGATACCGTGATACAAAACGGTGGCAATTCCGCAGTGGGTCAGCTGGTCATTCAGTTGTGCAAAATATGGAATTACAAGTCTGTCAGTGTCGTTAGAGACAGGCCGAACATAGAGGAATTAAAGGTACAATATTGGTTTATACCTTTTATCGTATTATAAATGTGTACATGTAACATTATGAATGATTTAGAATCAATTGGCAACCTTAGGAGCTGATGAGGTGCTAACCGAAGAGGAAGTCCGAAGCACACAATTGTTCAAAGATAAAAAGCTACTCGCACCAAAATTAGCTCTTAACTGCGTCGGAGGGCAGAACGCGCAGCAGGTGATGAGACATCTTGCACATGGTGGTACAATGGTGACTTACGGCGGCATGTCCAGAGAACCGTTAACTGTACCAATATCCGCACTTATCTTCAAGGTAATTCAGAATTGTATTTATACTTGAATCTAATTGATAATTGGTGCGATATACATTCAGGATATATCGTTGAAAGGATTTTGGATGACAGCTTGGACGAAAGCAAATATGGAATCCCAGGAAAGAGTGGATATGTTTAAAAATCTAGCAGGTTTCTTTAGGGATAAGAAATTGGAGCCGCCGCCGTATAAACTGGTGCCTTTCTGCGAATATCGAGAAGCTATCGTTAAAGCGCTCAGCTTTGACGGCCGGACGGGCGTCAAGTATATTTTAGACTTAACGAAATCTTAACAAGTTTTTATATTTTTTTGTCGTGCGGAGAGTCTGTTCTCCACTGTTTCATTCAATTCCAGTTAGGACTAAGGTAAACTGAGACATGTTTTGTTAAGTAGAAGAGCAAGTTTTTCACATGGAGACAAGTTTATTTCTAGTAGAAATATCGGTGTATAAATATGCAAGAAAATATAGGAAAAATAATTGCAATGTATTGTATGTTTCATCGGTTGTAATATGAAATTATTCAATTTCGTCGAGAAGATCGAGCAAATCCATACTACGTTTCAAACCTTCGTGCTCGTCCTCGAAAAAATCGGCGTACACAGTATCAAGTTTGGCTTTATAGTCCTCGTTTAATTTCGGCTTTCCGTTTCCCGCGTTACTTCGTTTAGCGTCAATTCCCTCGGCATCAATTTCCTTATTAGTATTATTTACATTCTCCTCGTCCATGTTTGACAGTAAGTTAAGCGTGAACGGTCTTTCGTAATTAGTTTCCTCGGTCCCCAGTTGAACAGCCAGCATCCCTAATTCTGCTTTCGCACCGCAGTCTCTTAGTAACTGTTGACTGTCTCGCCTAGCACTTTCCGTTAGGCCGTATGTTGGCAAATATCTGTGTAACAAAGTAAGCAATCATTTTTCATACTATGATTAGCACGGCGTACTTTTGCTCTTACATATTTTTGCCCAACAATGTTTTTCTGTCACCAAAGCTATCGAAGGATCCTCCGTAGCATGTTTCAGGGCTGACGTCTTTAATTCTCATGGTGGCTAGAGTATTTCTCTGCTCTGCATATTTCTCATCGTATTTCTGAGGTACTACGTTGAAGCTGGCGTCATCGTTTTGCAAACCGCGCCGCAGGAGGATCGAGACTCGCACGTTGTATGGCTCTAATTCCTTGAGGCAACTCTGCCGTACTTTCCAGACCTCGTCGAAAGTCAGACAGCCATAAAACTGTTTAGAAAAGCGGAGGAAAATCCTTGTCGAGCCGAATCTGGGTAAATGAATTATATCGAGTCGTACTCACGTTAATGATCATCTGATGCACCATACTGACGCTCTTTTGTACATTTACATCGCTGACCATGTCGCGCATCGCGTCCATGTGATTTAGAGTGATGAGAATGACCTCTCTCGGTCCAGTAGCTGCCTGCAATTGATACTTGACCATCATGATCATCAGGTCGAACAGTTTGTCCATGCTGCTCCTGTCCAGCTTCATGATGGATGAAAGAACGACGCTCTCTAAAGTGGAGCGCAACTGTGCTACCTCGATCATCGGTGATTCTTGGAAAATCGGCGACAGTATCTTAGGATTGAGCAAAGTGGCTGTTACGTCGTCCAATACTGTAATTAAACTAACTATATTAAACTAGTCTTGCCACCTGGTGTAACATTATTGGCTTGGAAATATCTAAACACAATTCTTTGTATCTTCTCAGTACTGCTATACGTTTTACTTTGATAGTATTTATATGACATATGTGTTTGGAATGATTTAACTCGTGTTTGAGATTTATGTTAAAATTTTGTCAGAATTAAGTATTTTCGAGTGTAGTCTCACCTTGTATCGTCTTGTCGACGTCGATTTTTTGCGCTTTTAGCCTCTGTCGCAAAACGTACAACATTTCGCCACCCATATTCAAATATAGGATGGGTGTCGAATGTAAAGACATTTTTGCAAACGCCAAATTTTCCTTGGACGATTATTGTCAGCGATACATGTATCGAACAAGTACACGTACGTGCGTCTTGCTCAAGCGAGGCACGCGATGCGTTGTCTTGACGACGTAAGTGTACATAATGCTCGCAATTATTGCGATCGGTACCGAGGCTGCGCGAGGAAATTTGCGCGGAAAATACCTTCTTTTTCATTAGTAGAGACAATCAGATTTTTCAAACTTGACATTACTAATGTGTCTTCTTGACGAACATTACGATTGGATTGTTCGAAACATGAGGTTAAAATAAGCATTAATAGGAAAGCAAAATTGCTATTAATCTAAAAGAAATTTTATTTTGTTATTTGGCGGCACATCGCAATTATTCCAGTAATACAATGTAATTAGAAGCTCAAATTAAATTTCCCGCGTTACATAAGCATTTAAGTGTTACCAAATTTAGCACTAGTTACTCAAGAGAAATTACTATGTTTTGTTACTAAATTGGCGGGCGTCCAAGAGCCCCAAGAGGGGCAGGACTGCAGGAGGTCCAAGAATATATCTCAACAAATCTACATGGCAGCAATTCGGGCTAGAGAGAAACGGAGAGAAAGAAGTGGTTTCCGTCCTATCGACAGTTTGGCCGGGTGAGATAAACGTTCGACTACGATTGTTGTTGGTCTAGCTAATGAATTATAAAACAGAGATCCTTGTAGAAACGAAATTGCTCTCGGAAAGAGTCACATTCAACAAGTTGAATCGCCTAGCTAGCCACTTTGTTTACCATAAACCATGCTTTTGTTTACGAATACCGACCAACTGTAATAAAATTAAGAAAATGGTGCAAATTGTTTCGAGATGGTATATAGACAATATTTTATAGAGCTTAGAAGAGTTGAGATAAAAAGGATGTAAATGTTACGACGCAAATATTGCATTTGACATGAAATAATGTTTGATTCCAATGCTTAGGAAATAGCGATAAATGAATACCGTTACAATACAACCTTGTTGATTATAAAAGAATTGATGTGTTTTTGTTCTAGATCCTACGTGCATACATATACAAGAGTATATTAGAGTAATACAATATTAGAAAAGTGTTATTTCTACAGAAAGGAAATGGATAAGGTACAGGAAATGTTAAATTCCAGATTGATTTTAGATGGCAAACATCTTGAGCTGTCAAATAATTATAAGAATCTAAAGACTGATCTGGAACGTATAGTATTTACGTTGAATGTACTGCAAGAATATGATATAGTTCCTAATGCAACTGGTATGCCAAAAAATGCCAAAGAATCTGAGCAATTGCGCGAACAAGGCAATAAAGTTTTTGTCAAAGGCGTCCTCAATAATATGACATGCATCGATGCATTGAAATTATATACAAAGAGTATAGCCTTTGCGCCTTATCCATCTGAGCAACTTGCTCTTGGTTACGCCAATAGGTCGGCAGTTTTGTTTCAATTGGGCTTATATTTGGAGTGCATTCAGGACATTGACCGAGCACTAGCCTTAAATTATCCTGACAATTTAAGAGCAAAGCTTTATCTACGTAAGACAGAATGCTTGATGATTTTGGGCAATCAGTCTGTGGAAGATATACTTACGGAGGCACAGCAGTGGTTAGACAAGATGTCTTTGAATGACGCAAGTCGAGAGAAGCTGAAAGCAAAATTTGACATTTTACACAATAAGACTGTAGAGACACAACGTGCTCTGAATAAAACAACAAAGATATTGGAACCTCCACCTCTTCCCACTCAGTTTCACAACAACGAAGTTCCTTGTGCGTCGGATGCAGTAGCCATAAAATATAATAAACGTTACGGCAGACACATTGTCGCTACTCGTAACATTAAGCCAGGAGAAGTGATTGCTTTAGAGAAACCTTACTCGTTGCTATTAATACAAGAGAATGTGCAAACGCATTGCTCAAATTGTTTAAGAGTTTGTTGGGCAAACATACCCTGTAACTATTGCACCTATGCGATGTATTGTTCGGAAGAGTGCAGAAATATTGAATGGAAAAAATGTCATGACATAGAATGTACCGTCTTTCCTGCTTGGATCGAATATTCCTCCTATAATCTCGATTTGTTTAGCATAAGGCTTGCCGTGCTGGCTCTAAGAGAAGCTGGTGGTTTCAAGGAATTAAGGGCAATGCTAAAACAAGTTGATCAACACGATGGTATTAATATTTATACTTTTGTTTTCTTAATAGAATAATTTATTATCTACCATTATCTTTCAGATCCACGAACAAAAGGTTTTTCTCCAGATGGAAAATTACATAGCGATAGATACATTAGCGTGTATAGTCTTGCAACGAATACTGAGCTAAGATCCGTATCCGATCTCTTCAGAAGGTCTTTGGATACGTGCTTTATTTTATACTTTTTGGCAACGCGTACTGTGATATTTGGTGCTAAATTACCAGAGGATTTAAGTGCATTGGCGCAAAACGATGACATTACGTTCTTTGGCGATCTTATTTTAAAACATCAACAAATAATTCCCAGCAATATGCATACGGTATGTATATCGTCTCTGTGTATTTAGTATATTTTTATCTATACAATTTATGTTTACATTTTCCTCAGATGTGCCAATAATTTTTTCTATTAATTGTTTCTTTTATAATATTTGCAGTTTGGCGAAACGCAAGGTTTAGAGTGTGTAGAACGTGGTATAGCCGCGATGCCATTTCTAAGCTTGTTTAATCACAGCTGCAGTCCAAATATATTCAGACACTCAAGACCTAAGCACATAGTGATATATGCCATGTATCCCATTCAAAGGGGCGAGCAGGTATTAAACTATTTGCACTGTGTAAACCATTCTGTCGTGTTATTAATCACAGTTATCTTGTTACAGTTATTCGACAATTATGGCACACACTATGCCATTACATCAAGAGCAATGAGACAACAGAAACTACGCAAACAGTATTATTTCACCTGTGATTGCATACCTTGCCAGGAAGATTGGCCTTTATATCATCAATTACAGTCGTTCAACGTATAATAATAAATTTAATTAATAATGCTCAAACAATTGTGCGTACACAAATTTTTAATATATGGTTTGTTTTTGATACAGACTCTAGTGAAGAAACCAGAGGATAAGGTTAAGATAAGGGAGACGTTAAGGAAATTTAACACATATGTTGATTTAGCAACAGACGGCATGGTGCAGGATAAACCTTACATTATTGAAGACCTCCTGAAAATGGTACAAGTACTGCACGATTGCGCTCCGATGCCTTGCGACGAAATGAGTAGCGTCATCGAGACATTAAAACGAATATACGACTTGAACGGGAATGTACGCGAGATACCACAAGTACAGACGTGTCACAAGTAAACATGTTGTATTTTTCACTGATAATATTGTTACCATCTTTATTTACTATATAATATGATTAATAGCATGAAGAAACACATTTTACAAAAATTCCTAGAGAGAAAATAATAATTCTTTTTACATATGACATATACGTAGGAATAAAGCGATGCAGTAGCCTCGTCATGTCACGTAGTTTTTGTTCTACGAAAGATATTTTTTCAAGAGATATTATTAAGTTTACAGTTATATTTATCAAGTATAATAATTTCATATGTGTAATGTTTTTAACAGATTAAAATTATGATTGACAATACTGTGTGTTTGTATCCCCCATTTTTCTCGTTATATATGTCAATTCTTCATACATTTCCATTCATTCTGCTATAAGTGAAAAAGGATATAAAAATGATACATTGTACGTAATATTGAGGTAGAGTAAAATTGTAAAATATAATACAGTTGTCAAAGAGAATTCAATGAACATAGTTATAATTGTTTAAGAAGATAGTGTTCTTTCTCTTGTTATGTCAATGATGACCAAGTGATGATTGATAACAGAATTGTCATTCCAACAGATTGATGCGTTGTTCCAAGATTATGAAAAATATCAACTTTCTCATTGTACAAAATTCGCCACTCCACGCCTGTATGCACAGGACTATGCTTTCTAAAATATTCTTCTAGTACATCCGCTGTGGTGACACCTATTAAAATTTAACGATGATATTGAACAAATATTCGATGGATAATAAAGGAAAAGAAAAGCTTAAAGATTACTGTGGAATAAAAGTTATAATAATGTAACTATACCGAGGGAAGTTGTTTCGAGACCTTCCAGCATATGAAAACCATCTCCGCCGTTTACGAGGAAATCGTTGAGGAGGACATTGTAGGTAGCATTCTTCTGGAGTTGACTGTACGCTGGTACTCTGCAAGCTGCGCATTGAACTTGGACCGAAACTACCCTTGAGTTCGGTGGTTGACTGATATCGTAAACTACCTGCAAGTTACGCAAAATTTTTTTTTAACGAAATAATGTGCAAACACAAAGTAGAATAACGATCAAAGTTTTGATGCTTCATTTTAATGATTGCGAAGCGAAAATCAATAAAAATTGAAAACTTGAACGCAATTCTCTTTCAAAATAGATGGAGTTAAATAAATTACCTGCAATCCGGAATACTGTAGATAAGCGCCGAATAAATTTCCAGTAGAAGTTAAGTTGTCAATATTATGAACACTCCACTCCAGCACCGAAAGAAGCTGTTGTCCTGTCATGGAAACTTTGACGACGACGTTTCCGAAAGGCAAGACACTTATAACATCTTCTCGAGTGACCTGTAAACAATTTCACTAATAGTTAAAAAGGTTTACGAGTATAAATTAGTATAAAGAAAACGGTAAAGCGCGTATTAATTAAAACCTGATCGTTTCTGTCTCTGGTGATGGATGATCTAATGCTGCCACTATTCTGCACGGCGATGGCGGCGTCCGTCCATCCATCCGTATTCAAATATTCCCCGGCGTGCTACGAGTAAAAAATATACAAATTTTCTTCCAAAATATCTCGCAACTAGAAAGTGTGTATTTATCACATTGATTGGAGATCTTACATAATCTAGAATAGCATCGCAGATCAAATTTCCCATGTTGCATTCTAGTCGTCTACAATTCTTGCTGTCCCCGTCCAGCAATACTCGCGTTTTTCCGACCACTTCCTGTTGTAAATCGTCGATTGGTCCTCTTTTCTCGTTTATCAGTTTGAGAACATCTTCCGCCTGTGAAAAATGATAATAAATATTCCATACAGCTTATTATAACAATATGTTGTAATACTTGTTAACATTGCAGTGTAATATTGTAGAAACATTGCGCAAACATTTTCTGAAATCTATATCCCGCAAAATCGAAAAAGTATCGGGAGAACATGATTGGCAAAGAGGTGGCACTATCTAAATTTCCAAGAATTTTTTTTAATTTCCAAGAATTGGTATTCCGAGAATTTCAAAGTTCAAATCACGAAAATTTAAATACTTTTTGTTTCCTCCAATAATCTATAATTTTTAAAATGTGGTATTTTAGTATTTAATATTATTTTAGTATTTTTGAGATAAAACCATAAATTAAAAATATAACGGAAACATTTTCATTTGTACCTTTGCAATGTATTTTTGCTACTGAAAACGAAAGCTTTCGATGTATTATGTTTCATAAGAATACAATTTTTACAATTTCCTTACAAATTATAGGTATTAGAAAAATTATATTTAAATTGCTTTGCTAATAATTATACGCTGAAACAGCATGCATGTATAATGATAATGTCCTTGTTACGGATGTATTCCCTTGAGTTGTTTTCTAAAGTGGTTCTAAATTTCAAAAAAGATTAGAATAATTATTATAATATTGCATTTCATTTTCTCTATTAAACAAAAGTTGATAATTTTTAAATCCTTAGTAAAAAAAGGCCGTTTTTTGCTCTCTTATAATTGATATAACGCGAATTATATTTGTTGGTGATTTGCAATTAAGCAACCTTTTGATATTTTTGCGCAGATTTACCTGCTCCACGTTGGCGTCCACAAGAATCGGGTTTCCTTCTATATGTGTTACCTCTCCTTTAATGTCGAAACTCACGGAGAAGTTACCGAGGTATTTAGTATATGCGTATGCCTGTACGACATAAACTTTTCTACCGTTCTTCTGCAGCACTTTCGTAGGATAGAAACCTTCTGGTACCTCGACGTCCGGTGGTTTGCCGCGATAGAGGAAGGTATTTGTGTGACCTCCGATCACCAGGTCAATGTCCTCGACCTCTCGTGCGATCTTCTTATCGACCTCGAAGCCCGAGTGACCCAGAGCGATAAGAATGTCGACACCCTGCTCTTTTAATTTCTTCACTTCTTCTCGGATAGACTCTACTTCATCTTTGAAAATTACATTTTCGGTAGTCGACAAGATTTTCGTTTCCGACGTCAAGTAACCGATCACGCCGATCTTTTTGCCGGCCACTTCCAAAATCGTGCTATTCTTCAGATTTGTGGCGGCCAGATTCGGCTGCTCGCTAAGATCCAGATTTGTCGTCAAGATGGGATACGAGGCATTTTGTATGAAAGGTATCAAACCTTCGACACCGTCATCGAACTCGTGGTTGCCCAAACTCTGTCAGAATTCATTGAATATAGTGACGAGCGGAGTGATTTTATTTCACTTCGAATATTATAATTCGCTTGAAAAATTACTTATTTACAATTATTTTATAGAATAAATTGCAATATTTTAAGTCTTAAGTGATGTAGAAACTCTATTTAAAATTTAATTATAGTAATAAATGAATTAGCGCATAAAAGTTTTACTTTTCAAATATTGAATTGTAATTTCGAAGTTGGGGTTTTTCGAGATTTTTCTTCAAAGTAGTTAATATTTACTATAGCATCTGGCATCAAGAGGTTCATGAACCAAGCAACCGCCTTCCATTTGTACACGTTGTACCAAGCGCTTCCTTGATAAGTGTCGCCAGCATTCAGGAAGATCGTTCGCGAAGGAAACTCCGATTTCGCTTGGCGGACCAAAGTGGCGATTCTAGCGAAACCTCCGTAACATTTCCCGGCTTTAGAGTCCGCTGGCGTACACACTGTCGATAATTGCGACGTCTCCTCGAATCTGAAGATATTACATGACAAAACTCTCAAGGTGATGTCTTAGACGATTTAATCACATAAATTATAACGTCAGAAAAACAAGGAAATTATCTCGACAAATAACACCGCGTGGGCAATGTCTAGTTGACACATGGGTGTGGAAGGTAATTAGCATTTGTGATTAGCCTCATAGCGATAATGATCGTTAACGTGGATATATTCAATTGAATTGTAATATGTCAAATACTGTACAAAGAACAAATGTAACTTAAATGATTGTAATTATTTAAAGAAAACAATTAATTTTCTTCTTCTTGGAGGGAAACTCGAGAAAAGCGCAATTGTTTTGTTTCGCGTTGAGAAAAGAAATATTTTTAATAAAAAATAAAATTACCTTGAATGCATGTCATTTGTGTGAACGATTCGGACAGTGAATTCTTCATCCTTCCGTAAAATGGGATTCGCGAATGTTCCACTCGAGATTATCAGTAACGCGATGATACAGTAATTTACAAACAAAATGATCGACATCTTGTGTTGTTAGTTCCTCACGATACGATGCAATTTTCGGTTGTACAATATCTTTTTTCGCTCTTATCTCTTTCTTGTATTAAATTTACTATCGATAAAGCACGTTTTCGCTTCAGTTGGTTATAGTGTTGTCTCCATTTTTCTCACGATCCAACACGTTGCTCCAATATGTGCGACATGTGTAGATCGAATATCTGTAAAATGTTTTAACAGTTTCAAGTATATTTCATGCATATGTTTCACCCCAGTGGGAAATGATTCGTTGATCGATGTCGAAACGATGTCGAATCGACGTCAATTTGACGTTGTCGATGTCGAATCGATTATATCGTTTCGACATCGATCGATGAATCATTTCTCACTGGGACGTTACAATTCGATTTTATGACATGAAATGTATTTTACAATAATGGGATTCTTTTATTTTTATTCGTTTAATGATTATGTTTGTGAAAGGAAATAAGAAATTAAGCTATACTAAAAGTTGAAATTTTTATTTTCACTTTTTGCATGTTGCAATTGCAAGATACGAGAATTGAAATTTATTGGCCACTACGATTTACTGCAAAACACATTGCCAACCTGCCAAGAATTGCAACGGCTCGTAAAGTTGTCGTAAAGAGTCCAACCGTTAAACATCGAGCAGTAGTGAATTCAATTTAATAGTTGGCGTTGTGCCTATCTAATTAACAGAATGAGGTGACGAAAATGGAATTTTTCTTCTTTGACTTTTACAATATATTTTCTCTATGAGAAATGTCAAAAGGCGTTAATTATCTGGGAAATTATTAACACAAAATTTCCATTTTTAAGAGAAGGAAACACAATAGGCATTTATCTATCTTACTAATTATAAGATATTATGTATAGTTATTATATATATTATGTGTGACAATATTTTTGTTTATAACAAGATGCTTATAGAGTTACAACTGTGAAAATGTATCTATTCACGTTGTATTGATAAAAAATTTATCATATAATGTCCGAAAGTACTTGAGTACCGAAATAAATATTTGAATATACTCTTACAAATAGATAGCAAATGTAATTGCAATTTGATTAAACACCAACGATTAATTTTGACGTTACGACATGTCGTTATTTTAATTCTGAAATGTCGCATGTTTTATATGTATATATAAATGATAGATAGGAATAGCAGAACAGAGAATAATGACTTTATTCAGGCTAAAGATACTCGAGAGAATATCTACAAGTAGCTATCTCGATTATTTGCACTGAAATGTAAAGTTATGAGCGGTATTCGTAGCCTTATTGTATTAAAACGTAAAATATAAGATTAGACCACCCATAATTGGAGCAATGTATGAAAAATTGTATCTCGGTACTGAAGCATTTGCAAACATATGTTTATATAATATTTTTTGATTAGCACAACGTAAGTGGAATATACTTCCGGAATATGATTATTTTTGAGAAACATCTTACATTACCACCTCGGACAATATTCTTGATACAATATATTATACGTGATGATCGCCAACAGGTTGAATGACACCGTATGTAGATCGTCAACGACGATATGTAACTCTCTGTGCGAATAACTGTGCACTAAATGCTTATTATTCCGTACACGTGTACAACACACAAACGTAGCGTAACTTTCGAGAAAACGATGTAACGTAAAATCGCGTTTTCCGAAACGATTGTATCGATTCCGGAATAATTGATTAGAGAATCTTTTAAATTTTTCTAGAATAATATATCCGCATTTCTGCAAGTAAATGCGAAAGAAAAAGGCAGAAGCAACGTAGTCAAGTTATCGCGGTAGTCGACGAGTATCACTTCAACAACAAAAGACGATGTTAAATATATAGTACTTGTACGGAACAACGAAAGAGTCGAAAATATTAATCGCTCTTTTATATTATCGCGGCGGTTATGCGTGAGCGATGAGAGACACGAACCGATTTTCTCGAGCGACTAGCGTCGACTGAATATCGACGTCGTCGCGCGGACCCCACCGGACTTCTTTCCGATCCGTGCTGGAATTTTTGTTTGTACCTTTGCAGCATCTGTTGTGGTTTTCCTTTATAGCTTTTTTAATAGATTTTCAATTTATTCATGTCTTCCAGACTGTATAGACAGTTTGAAAGTTTATGCGTTTGTGTTGCTAAGGTAAAAAAATTATTTAAAAAAATTTAAATTTATTACTCTTACATGTTATTAATATTGCTATTTTATTAATATTGCATCGAGTAGTCTGTAAGTATAAATAATTTAAATGAGGAAATTTTCCAGAAAAATATATGAGCCAGAAAAACAATTTTAAAGCGATTAAAGTATTATCTGTAATAACGCTGGTCGTTTTTATCTATCTCTAGTATATTAAGTACATTAATAGTGTCAAATATTTATCGATCTTTTATCGTGCGAGACCAATGATTTCTTTAGATTTGATTTAAAACGGTAACTAATAATAGATTTTTGAGGAAACATGCATCCAATGTAGGAGAAATAACCTTTTTGTGAAACGTTAATTTGTCGAATGGTATCTTATCGTAATTGAGTTGTTTGAACAACTTGTACCCTCAATATTAATCAGTATATTTACGAATGAACCAATTTTCTTGAGATTGAAATCTAGAAATGCGCTTATTATTCGATGACAAAATTTTAAATTAAATGTTGCAGCACAAACAATACGACATAACAAATATATTATTTTTTGTAAAATCTTTTGCATATCTTAAAAACGTTGTATCATGTCTTTGTCTTAAGCATTTTATCATTCTCTCTTGAGTGTTGATTTTATTTTCGCTTTAATTAACGATAAGAACCCAGTGAGAAATGATCCATCGATCGATGTCGAAACGATATCGATTCGACATCGTTTCGACATCGTTTCGACATCGATCAACGAATCATTTCCCACTGGGAAGTGCGTATCAATTTATAAATTTGAGTGATTGATATCTGCTTGCACTTCCGTTACATTGTCTACTTAAATTTTTATAAATTTCCGGATAGTTTATTTAATAAGAATGAGCAACAGTTCATTTTATTTTAAATAGTATGTGTATTTTATGTAAATGCAGCATTTAAATTAATGCACATTTGATGGAGTATTTAATTATTCTGTTTTCAGTTTAATAACTTTTGAAATTTAAATTGTTGATTTTCATATGAAAGAAAAAGTTACAGTTAATTAATGTTAAATTGTCGATAATGAGAGAGTAATAGGCGTGAGAATCTCTTTTTTTTATAATCAAATAGACTGCTCGCTTAGGTTAACAAAAGTTTACTATAGTCTTCCTTGAGAATCTTAGATTGATAATATCTTGCTAAACCAATTGCATGCTGCTTATTGATGCGTCATCGTGGCCCAAATGTACAGAACAGAACTGCACTTTTCTCTGCTAGAGAGCCAGATTGCTGGCAAAGTTATTCAACAATCTCCTTGGCATCGTATCTTTTCTCATCTGTTACGCTCGCCATTTGTTCTCCCATTTGTCTATGTTACGTGTCCTGTTTGTCAAAAATAAATAATCGTGCGAATCATAAATTGACATGACGCGAAGCAATTTATTTACTAGCAGACCTAGAACTGTTTTCGCGTCACGCATTATGATCACGTTTGCGTAATACGAGTGATTCTAATTTTGTTCAAGTCAGAACGTATCACGTGAGAACGCAGAGAGATAAACGTGATATCTCTACACAATATATGATGTCTTGTTATCAATATCGATACAGGAATAACATGTCCGCGAATTAATTCAAACTAGTTAATGCTTCGTAGTTTTCTTTTTTTTTGTGAAATTTAACCTTGCTGAAACTCTTGTCATTGCCTTGAGCATAAATTTGTATGAATAAATAGATTAGTGGCAAGACGTTTTGTGATTTCCATACCAGTTAACTGAATGAAATCGCTAGATATTTTATAAACTATATGCATCTGTTTATGCAAAATGATGGTAATAGAAATTTTTATTATTAGTATTAGTTATTTCTTGAAAAAAAATGAAAGATAGCGGTAACCATTTTACGTAATACTCACCTTTGTAAGATGTTGCAATGTGTCAACTGGTTAAAAATACGTACATACGCAATAAAAGAGATATATTCTGTAAAAATGCTTTGTAACGTTATATCCTTATAAGCTATGTAGCACTAGAGTAATAGAGAAAGAGCAAGTGAGAAGTGAAAAAAAGAAAGAGCGCTAAAGGATTACAGAGCTACAGAGTTTGTGGAACGAAAATCTTACAGAATACAGGAGTATAATCTATCTATATATTTTTTTATAATTGCACGAGATATACAAAATTTTATATAAATGCTTTACGTTTAAGTAGATTATATTTGAGCGAAATAAAAAATTTTATCTGATACATGCAATTGCTTGGCACGAAATCATTCCGTTACGTAATACAAAGAAACTCACAAAGGAAATGAATATTTTATTATCTAGATATTATATTGATAAAGTTCGAAAATGTATTTTAGATATCAGAATGAACTGCTGAGATTACCTGAAATATTTTGTAATCATTCGTGAGGTAGGGGATATGCGATAATCGACATTTTTTCTGGTAGAAGCTGAGACACTGTGGTGAACACAACTAACAGTTCTCAACGAATATTCGTCAAGTAAGTTACTGCAGGAGTTACGTAGCTTACTAGGAGATAGGAGAGGTGATTTAGACTCATTATTAAACAAAGTATATTATAATTGTGCTATGTACGTATCACTATTCGCCGTTTCAGTTATCTACTGTAAATTGTATGTTTGTTCCAAAGATAATTATCCTCGGAAAAAATAATTGTTTAGCAACTGCTTATGTATGTCGCAATTGTTTATTATCAGGCTATTTGCGTTTTATTAATTGACATTTCGTTCTCAATGTTTGCATTAGTTGACTTTGCATCTTCCATACAGTACAATTATTTCATCTTCGTTGACTTACGAACTTGTAACACCTGTTTGTGTACCTGTTCGCGTTATAATTAGTGGGAATGAAAAAGCAAGAAGTTGATTGCGTTTTTTACATCGCATATTAATGGTCGTGCGAGTTGTACGAGCGAGTGACTTAAAAGCATTCTGATACCCGATAAGACTCACTTCGCCCACTTCTTTTTCTTGTGAAACCGCTTCCATGATGAGGCACCATAAGAAGAAACTTGCGCAAATTGGAATAGATGCATCAAGTACGGATAGTCAGTCTTATCACAAACACACGCACACACACGCATACATACAAATTAACTTACGGCAGCATATAAATTTAATAAAAAAGTTATATCGTTTGTGTATCGAAATGACATTTGAGAAATATTATTTGCTGCTTTGAAAATGTCATTGTATCGATGGTGATTCATTTCAATTGAAAGATATTTCGTCTTCGACTTTTAGCAGTTGCACAATTTTCCGCATTATCTACCTTCGCAGTTATCTTTCAAACAGCAGAACGACATGTGGTAAAAAAAAGTGTAATTATCATTTCCGTGTTGACAAAGAACTGAACGTGCATTCGTAACATATCACGTAAGGAAGGCATTTCAGTGGAGAAGTATAGAGTGTTGTTTAGTCTGCTTTACTTTAAAAGTGCGACGTTCTCAATTATCAGACTTAAATATGTGCTATAAGCACACATACAATTCGGTACTTTGTTTCCATCTCATTGCATTTAATTACACATGAATGTAGACAAAAATCAGTCGTTACTTACAAATTACTTAATAATATCTTTTCCGACAGGCACGACATGTACGCGCTACCGTTAGTCTCATTGTTGTTCCAAGTTTGTTTGGGATTCACCGGGCGAGGACTCTTTTATCCTGGTAGAACAGACTTGTTCGAGTTATCGATAATTCATCTAAATGACTTTCATGCCAGGTGAGCAAGTGGTTTTATTAATACTTATTTAACTGTCGCATCCAACTTGTATAGTGTAATTAATAGCGTGGAATATCTTATTAAGGATTGACCAGAGAGATTTTGCGTTTTGCAGTCACTTTTGTAAAGAAATTAAAGAAATCGCTGGCCGGTAAAAGTAAGAAATATTAATTCTTACCGTTAAAAAATCTTAATTGTGCGCACAAATTGATTGTATTTCTGGATCCGGAGAGAATTGCGAAATCAAGGATAAAGTTATAATACTTCCGATGTGGCCTTAGCCTCCTTTTCTTGCCCTTGGTTTGACTTTTGCATGGCTTTTGTGTTCGTCGAAGCGTGGCTTTTGAAACAAAAAAAAACAACTATATGTTGAAACAGATTCGAACAGACGAGCCCCTCTTCTGGGTACTGCCGAGAGGGTGAAGAAAAGGACTGCGTAGGAGGTATTGCTAGAGTCTACACTGCAGTTAATCAGCTGGTGAAGGAACGACCGAATGCAATTTTCCTCAACGCCGGTGATCACTTTCAAGGAACTCTCTGGTACAACATCTATCGTTGGAACGTCACTGCCTTATTCATGAATATGTTGCCACACGATGCTATGGTATATGTTCGCAATTGATTATGGGTGATATTTATGTTATATATATTAAAATAATGATTAAAGAAAATATAGGTGTAAAATGTCAAAAACGTGAAATAAAATTTCATAACTTGCTTAAAAAGAAATTTTTAGTTTTGTATATCTACCGTACAATAATACCTTGTAATATTTTCACAGACGATCGGCAACCATGAATTTGACAATAAAATTGAAGGCGTTGTTCCCTTTCTTAAAAACGTCAATGCGCCAGTTGTAGTAACAAATATCGATGACAGCGAGGAGCCAACTATACAGGTTTGTAATCTCTATTTATTTATAATAGTGTAAAGTAATATTACATGTTGATATTCTAGGGTTTATATAAAAATAGCACAATCATCGAGAGAAACGGTACCAAGATCGGTGTCATTGGCGTCATTCTATCGACTACGAACGTGAGCGTACATTCTCATAAATTGTGACTTTTTTCATCGATCTAATTTGCAAGACACGTTAATTTTCTCAGACAAGATATTGGAAAAGCGATTTTATGAAAGTGATTTTTCCAGTTAATCGCAAGTACGGAGAAATTAAAGTTTTTGGATGAGGTAGAGACAGTCAACGACGAAGCTAAGCGACTGAAGGAAAAAGGAGTAGACATTATTATAGTTTTAAGCCATTGTGGACTGGATGTGGACAGGATCATGGCTGCGAAATGTCCCTTAATCGACGTAATCGTCGGTGGTCACTCGCATACGTTTCTTTATACTGGTCTGAAAGCCACGTCCTTTGTATTGATTAAATATGAATTAAACTTATATAAAACTATTTTATTGAGAATAAATGCATACAAGAGCTATTAAACTTATCATTGTACAACATATATTAATATTATAACATTAATAGCAAAATAAATTACAGTGTTACTTTTTTCTATTATATTGCAGGACCTCCACCTTTTATCGACACACCAGAGGACGAATATCCCGTGGCCGTGACGCAAAATGAAACAAACAGAACAGTTCTTATCGTTCAAGCAGCTGCTTATACAAAGTATGCTATTCAGTTGGTATGAGAATATAGTAAGAGAATCGTTGAAAAAAAAGGTCAATTGCTATCCGATGTCACGAGGTTGGGTCTGATTAATTTGTTTTCATTGCAATGATTTAACGGATATAAATTTAATTGAAATTCATCGAAAGAGTTGGTGCTTAGAATATTATTCGTACACTATCATGTACACGTATGATAAAAGTTCATTTAGTTGAACTTTTTATTCGGTTTATTCTTAATCTTTTTAAAAGATATTTAGGTAATCTAACAGTGTGGTTCGATGATGAAGGCGAAGTCGTTGATTGGGACGGAAACCCACTTCTTCTGGACTATTCTATCGAGGAAGGTACGTTTCTGATACTTAAAAAATAGCTTCAAAACGATATGTAAAATTATTATATACAATATATATTTAGATCCAGAGATTTTGGAAGCTATGGAGCCATGGAAGAAAGAAGTGGATGCGACGGCGTTAAAAAAGGTTGGCAGTACGAGAGTCTTACTTGAACGCAATTGTCGCTATAAAGAATGCAATATGGGAAATCTTATAACCGACGCCATGGTGGATGCGGTACGAAAGACACTCTTTGCAATATTCTATATCTTTAATCGAAATATTAAACTAATAAAATTAGAAATTATGTTAATTTTAGGTTGTCGATAATGCCGAAAATAAAACTCATTGGACGTACGCGGCAGTAGCCTGTACAAATCCCGGAGGAATTCGTACTTCTCTTGAGGAATCTGAGATTACTTACGGTGACCTGATAATGGTTCATCCTTTTGAAAACACTTGGGACACTGTTGAACTGACTGGAGAATCCATTAAAAATGTCAGTCAAATTTCTTGCTATAACTGTTGGAAAAATAGTATCAAACCAAAACGTAAACTTGTGTTAAATTAGTTTTTCATTAAGAACACAGGAATTGAAAAGGGAGTGGAATAATAAAATGAATTTTACCTTTCTTTGTAGATTCTAGAAATGGGTGAAAGTCTAATCTGGTCTGGACTAAAAATTACCTACGAAAAAGTCAATGAAACACGAACTGTGGTCGATGTTAAAATTAGGTAAAATCTTGTATTACTAGAATTTAAATTTGTTGCAAAATTGAAGTATATTCACTATCATTGTTTTATATTATGCTAATTTTATAATTAATAATTTGAAAATTAATATTAATTTTAATTTTTTTTCATACATTGACAGGTGTCAAGCTTGCGAGTACCCGATATTCCAAGATTTGGTGCACGATCAATGGTACAGAATAGTGGTACCAAGTTTCTTGATGAATGGCGGAGATGGCTATTACATTTTTAAAGATAAGAGTCGTAATCACAAAATTGGGACGCGCGATATAGATCACTTAATAAAATACGTAACAAAAATGAGTCCTATATTTATCGGAACCGAGAGACGAATTATTTTTCTAACATCGTAAAAATTGTCTTCTAATTAGATAGTAGATTTATATTTTTATAATAAAATTATATTTTTAGAAATGTACACTATATGTATAAAATAAAAGAAGTAGCATTGGAAAATAAAAATAATTATATCGATTAAAACGCATAAATATGTCTGGCAAAACATAAATTAATAGAAATCAAATATAAATGATGTAACATATTTGATTTATAGGATGCGCATGTATCACGGATGTAACTTGGTGGTATAGAAGCATGATTTACATTCATACACAATGTTTTTAAGTAAAAATTATTTTACATATTATTTCGAGCTTGAAAGTTATAAGATAAAATTACGAAACACACACATCGCATATGTAATATAAACAATTTTTTAATATTCACAGAAATGAAATAATTAAAATATGTTGAAATAAAATATAATAATTTTCTTTCCTGCGCTGTGATATTACTGTAAATTCTTGTATAATCGTTAAAAATAATGATGAATTTACAAAGATTTGTAAAGATCTCGCGTGTCATAAGAAAGCAGGAAACGCCGGTCACTTATCTTGCGGTATCTCGAGATCGAGGCAGATGAAGCATTTAAATAATGTATCGAACAGGTGAAATAGCAGCTGTTCGTCCGTGTTCCTGCCCTCGACCAGAATGCGCGAACCGCTTTGTAACACCGGCAAGGAACGTTCGTTTTTAGCAACGAAAGAAAGAAAGACACTCTGCAACGATATAAACTTGATATTCCCCTATTACATCTATATTATTCGGTATTAAATTTCTCCAATACTTGATTTTTACACAGACTTGATTTTTACACCGTGTGTGCACGCGTAGTCCTTTTTCTAATATATCCTAATTAACTATTATGTTGTACTGTATTTTATGTATATTGCAATATTTGTTAATAATAAAATTCAATTCATAAGGCTCTGATGTGAAATGACAATTGGAAGGAATAAAGGATATAAGAGCCAAGACAGAATGTTAGTGTCTAAATGCTTTCAATTAATTTGTTTAATTTATTGCAACAAATTTACCTCAGCCAGGGTTTGAACCCGGATCTCTCTCTCTCACTAGGCGGGCGTCATTAAAATCACTTAGACACTAACATCCATTTATTTTCTCGAATTTTAATAATAAAATTGATTGATTGAAACGACGATAAAAATTGACTTGACACGAGATGGAACGCTAACGATTACTTCGGAGCGTCGTATCGCCACGCTGACAATAAGCATCGAGTGACAAGGATCAAGCGCAACGCTTTCGGGCAATTAACATTCATTACGTCGCGCAGAGCAATGTAATAATGCTCGTGTCGATCTGCATATCTCTGGGGCGATTTACATAACACGAGATGCGCCATGCGCGTAAATATGCGTTATCGGATTTTAGTGCCGTCGTAGAAGAGACAAGGACTTTCGGTGTCGTGTCGATTCGAAATGACATTATTATCTTATATAATGTTACCTCTACGTACACCTATAAGTGAGAACACTAACGTCCCAAAGAAAAATTTACTTGCAAAACTTTTCATTATCTTTGAAAACTGACAGTGTTTGTGTGATTCGACGTTATCTCACTGGGAATATGTATTCTTTGTTATAAGAGAATTTCAACTGAGAATACCGGATACACTATATTAATATCCAGCTGTATGGAAGCTAACGAAATCATTTTGTTTTTTTTCGAACGCACGATTCAGAAAAGTGAAGAAGGTAAAATCAGATAAAAAGAACGTACTAAGTTGAAGATTTCGAAACCTTCGGCCTGCTTCGGCTTACAGTTTTACATTTTTGCACTCTTTCTCCGTTTACGGGAAAGACGTGGAGTAAAGAGAGAAAATTCGGAGAATGCGGATAAAAGAAACAATGCCGTTTCGTCATATCTCGGTGGTGCACGAGTGGAATTTTCGTCAGGCTCTCGACGAATTGCGAAGGCGCGTTTCTGTCACGATTGCACGCGCGCGATTCGCCGGATGTTTCGCGAGCGTCGCGACGACGACGACGACGACGACGAGAAAGCAATGGCGCGGCGCGACGTCTGGCAAGGAAGTCTGCGCGGAGAACGAGCGGGAGGCAGCTGTGCCGTCGAGCGAGCAAGAGGATAGACGAGGGAAGAAAGGGAGAGATGAAACAATATAAAGATTGCTTATGTGCTGTAACATCCTAGTCTTTCTACTTGTCCAATTTCTCATTTTGGAAGTAATACAAAACGACAAAGAGAACGGCCGTGGAAAGTGAGAGAGTGAGAAAAATGTGCACGGGATAAGATGGCGATAATAAAAAGACTATTTACTTTTACAATTGGACGACAATTGGACGAGAGAGGATAAAAAATGCAAAAGAGCGTCGCGAGGGAATCGGATGAATCGACGCGCGTATATTTTGAACGTTGGCGGGACAGAGAAAGCGAGCGAGGAAGAGGGTGATTGGAGGCGGCGGTGAAGAGGGCCGGGGGACTGTCATGGAGGCAGATCTGCCTTCTGGCAGGAGGGTCTCGACCTGCTGCACTCGGTATTACCTGCCAGCGCGCGAGCACGGCGGCAGCTGGCACGGCACGGTCGGCCAGTGTCTCCGAAGTCGCGGACTCCGATGGATCGCGCGAGCGGTAGCGCGTGGTGAGTCGGTACAATTGCGAGCGTCGCGCCGCGTCAATTCGCGATCAGCTACACTTGGGACGACGACGAGGACGACGACGACGACGGCGGCGGCGGCGGTGGCGGCGGCGGCGGCGGCGGCGAGAGGAGGCGAGGAGGCGCGAGCGGCCCCAGGAGAGCGACACGTCGCGATACGATCGATCCGTCAAAAGCCGTGCAGTAGCGGCACGCAAGCCAAGCGGCGGCCAACGCGCGAGACCGCCCGCCCGCTGCCGATGGAGGAAATGTGTTGCTCGTGACGTCACGGAATTCCTCCTCGCTGCTGGAGTAAACGGCCGCGAGCACTTGTCATCGTGCCTTCTTGTTCTCGCGTAGTCTGATACTTGCGTTCTCTCGAGAGAAGAGGAGAAACCTCGCGGGGAGGAGCGCGCGCATCGTTTTGACGACGGTAACGCGTACGTCGGAAACGGAGCGAGAGAAAGAGAGAGAGAGGGAGAGAGACGCGGAGGAGAACGTGGGCGTTGAGTGATTGTTGTCGGTGCTAGTTTCCATCGGGAGTCATGAGAGACACGAGCGATATGATGGAGGACGCCCTGTCGGAGGTACGTAACAACCGATCTATAATTTCAGTGAATCTCCGCAGCTAACAACATTTAAATCGCTCGAAAGAAAGGGCCGGATTAGAGAAAAAAATGTCGCCGACGGAACGTTAAGATTTCAAAGATGCCACGAATGACAATACTTGTCGGCATCTTTGTATATTCTTTAATCAATATAGATTAAACTTTTGCTTATGCAACGCTATAAATGACGCGTTGATTGCGGCGACTTGATGAGCAAACATAGAGACATTTCCGTTGTGCGTCAACTAATTGCGTGAAAGCTGGTACGAACGCATACCGTTTGTATTGGCCACACACAAGGCGATAATACAATATAGCGGCAAGTTATCTCTGATTCTCGGAAAAATTGTCTGTATTTACGATCGCACCAAAGTGCACCTGCTCGAAATGGATTTTTTATTCCTTCTCCGCCGCGTGGCACGTTTGTCCGTTTTCGGTGCGATTGGGAAATGTTTTTTGCTCGCGATATATGCGCTCGGATCGATGGATTGAAATAACCGCGTTCTTTCTCCCAATCGCTTTTCCCATCCATCCATTAGAGCGACACTCGAGTTCTATATGGAGATACGGTGCGACAAACGCGTGAATTCCGTTGGGTGATTTAAATCTCCATTAAAGCGAAGAGCGCACTCGTCCGGCCGCGACGCAAATAGTTTTGATTGGATCGGCGCGATACACGCACCCTTTTCTTTCTACACTCGGCTGGGCAGTTTCTCAGCCCTAGGCCGCTCGTTATTACGAAAATTGCTATCTTTGTTAGGCGATGCCTTATTTTTCCCCTCCCTCTTTACACTCGTCTTTTATTATCGCGGATACGATCCGGATATAAATGTAATTTCCTGTTTACCAATCTTAGACCCGCTTTCGATTCTAAGCTCTTCTCTCGCTTGGCATCTACTTACTTATTTATCTCTCGACTCCAATCTTCTCGCGCTACGACTGCTACGAGTCATCTCGCCGCGAGTTTTTTCGCTTAAAATTCTATCGGGACGACGCTGGAGCGAATTAGAATTTCAAATTGAATCCTATTGCGCGAGGGATGCGCCCTTTTCTGCAGTTAACTGCATTCTCGATGCTCGTGCTTCTTCCAAACTTGGAGAGAAAGAAAAATTCTTGGAGAAGTGCGATCTTGCATAAAATGTAGCAGTCACTCTCGGCGCTTCGTCTCGTTTCTTCGCAGTTTCAACTTTGTATATATACTGCGCGAGAGCGAAACAAGTCCCCAATATCCTCTCAAACTTGGATTATCTTTCAAATTCTTTTCATCTTTCTTCTCTCGCGACACTTCTCCTTCAACTTTATTTTTTCCAATTTCTCCAAAAAGTCTACTAAACTACATTTGTTTTTACAACACTTTTATACATTTTTTACTATTAACACGATCTTTTTCATTCTTTTCATATTTATAATTGATCTTGTCTCATTTGAACCCATCTTAACAGTGATTTATTGAATTCGGAATATCGGCGACATTATTTGTGGCATTTTATTTACATTGGTCTGCCTGACGGCTCCATCGATGTAGTCAAACGTGTCCTTTTGCTACGTGTTAACACTTGCGCTGATGCGTTGTGCCTTCATCACATATTTTGTTTGCGTTCTATTTATATCTGAAAATGAAACCTGATAAAGGCGTGACTGAAGAGAATTGTTCTCATTTTTTGTAAGAAACGCTTTGAGTTCGTATCGAAAGAATTCCGCGAGATTGATCGTCCTCTTTAAGATCACTTGGCTTTTCACGATTCCTCGATCATTAATCGCATTTTACCTTCAGTCAGGGTTGCGAAGATTGAATGACATTTAATTAAATCTCGTTTTATTCCAAACATTTAATATTCACGCCGCAGTTGTTATCGCATCTTGATATCCTTGAAGGATATTTTAGTAACTTGATGTGCAGCTTGTTACGGATTTTTACAGGCGATAGTCGCACACTCTCGATCACTCGATCACATCTTATCTGCATTAACGTGTAAACTTTGCAATCTTTTATTTCTGCCGCGTATGTTCGCCTACTACTTTGTGATGCGAATTAATTTGATAAGTTGGCAATCCGTACGAGACGTACGGTGGATCTTTTGCAAACGAAAGGAAACGTTATTTACTTTGAGACCTTTATTTTCAAAGGGCAACAACTGGAACGAAGCACAAATCGTTTCGAACGTGAAGAAAATCAATTTACATTTATCCATTTGTCTAATTGCATCACATTTCCATTTATTGTAACTCGCATTGGACCGCATAGATAGTCCGTTTTCAATATTTATGAGAGATGTTAAAAGTATAAAAATTAATTCTTCCCTTTATATCTTTATATTATTTAAAAAAAGTGAAAGGAATTAAATATAAAACAAATAACCGCAAAATTTTAGCTGTGCCAACCGGAAAATATACAAGCGACCAAGTTGAATAATTTATAGATTTGAATATGTACTTTTGATTCAAACGCCGAATCAATGCTGCTCCAATCTCTTTAACTTGTAAACTTATTTGTGTTGAGGTTTGCCGCAGTATCATCGAATAGATTATTGCAGTCAATTATTTTACTGGTAATCGGACGTACCTGCGATTCGTTAACTAAAGTAAACTCGCGTTTTATTCGCGATCGATAGCCCAAATATCGTAGCCGTCACGAAAGACCCTCGTTGCGCGCTCTAGTTTGCATGTACCAATTGTAATTTGAACATACCTTCGTTTCTCGCTGTGACGACGTCATCAACTAATCTCCAGCCAAAAGTACAAATTTTATTTCGAGTCGTAAGGGATTTGCATATATTGACTGAGTGATTCAACTCGATATCGACAGCCAGCAACTTGCATCACAACTGTATCTTGTACTCCAAGTGGTCCATTCACCTTTTCGAAGCGAAAACTCGGAGCTACGGAGAAGCCGGTCTCGAAATCTATTTTCGCTCCTTCGTGTATCGATTAGAGCCTACCTGCTGCTCTCGATTATGCGAAATGATACGAATGCGAAAAGTCGAACGCGAATTTGCATGCGTTTATCACGTCGCACAAGTTTAAAGTAGAAAAAAAAATCAAGATATTATCAGCTTTCGCGTTTGTAACCTGCCTTTACGAAGTCGATTCTATCGATCTTCCGATCGCCTTCTCGACGATCCGTGGAAGGTGTATTCTCAGTGGTGCAAATTTACAATAATTTCTCGTTTGCATATATTAATCTACATCGCGATCGGGCTTTCTTCTAATTTGGCGGAAACGAATATTATGGTTGAGGATCAATTGCACGGCCGAACGCACATTAAGTATGTTTTAATTCAACGCATTACCATACCAAAGCAGTTAGTGGCGAGGCACTGTGCGACTTCTGACTATGGTCACAACTCATCAAGACCATTTTCCATAATGGTGATAATTAGAACGCGACAAACAAAACGACATCCTCGCGTTTCTTAATATTTTTAGTATCGTTTTCGATCGCGATCGTTTTTATTGTCAGGACAAGAGAAAGTGAAATTTTGTGTAAGGCGTACTAATTATTTATACACAATAATTTGAGTTATGCACCAACTATATTTTTTATGAGCTAAAGCTATTATTTGGTCGCAAATGTGCAACATTTTTCTATGTTCTCTATTGCACTGTATACAACAGCTTCTCGAGAGGTAAACCGCTGACCAAAATCATGTACGCCAACGCCTACTAATGCCCAGGGGCATTACTTTATCTTATTTTATCTTTATAATGTCCCAGCAAGGACTAATGCCCAAAGAATGCCTATAAGTAATGTCGCAAATCTGTACACCACAATGCCATCAGCGGTTTACCCCTCGTAGCTTCATAATAAATTGGACATATTAATTATATTTATTCCGTTACATGATTTATGTTGCTGTACAATTATACAGTCAGCATATATTATCATATTTTACATCATTACAGCGATGTAATCAAGAATTACTTAGATGAAGAGCACGATCGTTACAATTATCAAGTTATTTGTATGATCCGTACCTTTACTAGCAATCGCCGTTTATGTCTTTCTTTTTTATTTCGGTGCAATTTCCGTCCTTAAATTCTCGCCATGACCAACGGCATGATCATTTTTAACCCATTCACGAACTTTCTCCACGTTCTCGCTTTCACCGATCCAAGGGAATTCGTATTGGCGACGTTCGCTTGGCAAGTTTGTTTTTTTGCCACCTACCAGAAATTTTTGTAAAAATTTTCCTTCTTTTCTTCCCACCCTATATATAATTTTAGCCATTCTGATAAACTGTGGCAATCATTTAATTAAATGAACGCATTAATTAACCATTGAAAACATAATGTATAAAGATTGTAAATGCTATATTATTATCTGTCATTCATCAGAATATTTATGAGATACTATATGTATAATACGAAGAGAAAGAGACAGAGAAGGAAGGAGAGGGAAAAGAGAAATATACAATGTTAATGACATGTAAATATAATTGTTTTAAAATGGGCATTAAAAGATTGAGCGGTGTAAATAATTGAATATATAAAATATAAATTTAAAACAGTTTTCCAAAATATATTGGGAAATGAAGGAAATAGTTTGTAAGCCTGCAACTGATAATTTTAACATCGGAAGGCTTGTCATTGACGAGAGATACTGTCGTCTCTACGGGCTATCGTATTATCATGGACGATAATTATTTCGGGGAAAGCTTTCCTCGATCGACGAAATTGCTGTTAATAGCGCTTCCTTGTGAATTACTAAATTTAGCGGTAAATTGACGGCTCGGAGATTACTCCGAGTGTCATTAATGTCGTGCAGCGTTGCACAAAAATTATATAGATAACATTAATAATTCCGTTATAAATTGC